TTGCAAATGTTATTCATAGAGATATTTATATTTTTTTAATTTTAAAATGTATTTCAATATGCTCTCAGTAAAAAATTACTTACGAATTGAGGATTGATTAATGTAAAACAGAGAAATAGAATATCAGTAAAATGGTTGCACATATACCTTAAACAATTATATACATGCAATCGACAATCGGTAAATTACTAGAAAAGTTTACTTTAATTTGTAGCTAAGGTGAACGAAGCACATATATAGTGGGGTGTGTTAGATCCTCATTCATCATGACCCACAAATGTCATCTCAATTGACAATTTATAAAATTTTCAGAACCTGACAAACTACATTTGAAGTTTAGTAAATTTATTCTGGGTGTTCATAAGCAAAGTGCAAATTTCGCCATAATGTTAGAACTTGGAAGAAGTCCATATTATATTGATATCATAAAATCAATGTTATTATATTGGCATAGAATGGAATATTTTGATAACAGTTCTCTCCTGTACATTGCTTTTATTAATCCTAAAACACCTAGTACAAACAGGGACGCCTGATTCTTTTGTATCCTTCAATTTTGTAAATTGTTAGAATTATAAAGAAAACTTCCTCTTTGAGTAAATCTAAATTCAAATTTGTTATTAATAATCGAATCCGAAAAAAAAATTGCATTTGGCTAACCTTGAAAGAAAAGAATTCTTAATGAAAAATGGTTTCTTGTGTAAAGCTTAAAAGTGATTTCCAGTATGAAGAATATTCAACATTACTGAATACCTTTAACTTTAGAAGAGGCATAACCAGATAAAGATTATCTTCTTACAAACTAAAAATTGAAAGTTTTTCTGGAAAGATATTGGCTCCTTTATTACAAAAGCAATAAATAATTCAAATGAAAAACTTCAATTCTCAGACTCAAATAAATTAGGAATCATTACTTGTATTCCAAAAACAGGAAAGCCAAAACAATTTCTGAAAAACTGGCGACCCATTAGTCTTTTAAATGTTGTTTATAAAATAGCATCAGGATGCATCGCGGAACGAATGAAAACTAAATTGGGCAAATTGATAAATAGAGACCAAACTGGATTTATAAAAGGTAGATTTATTGGAGAGAATATTAGACTGATATATGATATAATGCATTATACAGAATATAATCAAATACCTGGCCTATTGATGTTAATTGACTTTGAAAAGGCTTTTGATACAATCTCATGGAACTTTATATATCAAACCCTTGACTTTTTTAATTTTGGACCCTCTTTTAAAAATTGGATTAGAACCTTCTATAATGGTATTAAATCATGTATTATACAAAATGGATTTACTTCAGACTATCTTTTCCCCCAAAGAGGATGCAGGCAAGGTGATCCGATCTCACCTTATCTCTTTTTGTTATGTGCTGAAATTCTCGGAATCTTAATTCGAAATAATCAAGATATAAAAGGTATAACAATTGAGGGTGAAGAGTACAACTCTCCCAATATGCTGATGATACTTCTCTTATCTCAGATGGTTGACCAAGATCTATGGATGGTATTCTCCGAGAATTAGATTATTTTGCTAATATATCAGGCTTAAAGATAAATTTCTTAAAAACTAAAATGATATGGATTGGAAGTAAAAAAATTTCAAGGGACGTATTTCATCACTCAAGGTGGAAGCTTGACTGGGAAAATTCAATATTTGATCTTCTAGGAATAAAATTTTCAGTAAACTTGAATGAAATACTTGATCTTAATTATTCCATAAAGCTAAATGAAATCAAACCTTTGTTACGTAAGTGGAGTTTAAGGAAACTTACCCCAATTGGAAGGTTAACAGTAATTAAAACTTTAATATTACCCAAATTAAACCATTTAATTCTTACTTTACCAAACCCTAAGTCAGACTTTTTGAAGATGTTTGAGACTGAAATGTATTATTTTCTTTGGGGTAGCAAAACTCACAAGGTAAAGAAAAATGTTATAATCCAGGACTATAAATATGGAGGTCTAAAAATGATTGATTATACAGAATTCATTTCTGCCCTTAAATCAAGTTGGATTAGAAGACTTATTCACTCACAAGCAAACTGGGTAAAATTATTTGAAGCTGAACTAAAAGTAGATATAAACAATCTTTGGATAAGGGGTTCTGATTATATTCTGAATCTCTCAACGAGATTAAATAATGTTTTTTGGAAAGAAGTTCTGTCAAGCTGGGCAAGGCTAACTATAATAAATCAAGAGAAGGACAGGCATGTGCTATTTGAACATATATGGAATAATCCAAGGATTAAAATTAATAATAAATCTTTTTTTTGGAAAAACTATTTTAATGAAGGCATTGTTTTTCTTACTGACCTCTTTAACAATGAGGGTAGTTTCATAAGTCTCGACTCATTAATAAACTTGAAAGTGAAAACAAATTTTGTTGATTATAATGGTCTTAGAATAGCAGTGTTAGATAGACTGAAAAATATAAACTGTGATGATATTGAAAATGCTAAGTTGATTGGACCATATCTTCCAAATTCCATTTTTGTATTTTATAAACATGATAAAGGTTGTAAGGATATGTATAACATATTTATAAGTAAAAAGAAAGAGCCAGTTAACTCAATCAAAAAATGGAGAGAAAACAGATTTATCTTCGATGAGGCAGACTGGGCTAAAATATTTGAACTTCCTTTTAAAATAACTCAAGAATCTAAACTTCAATGGCTACAGTTTCAAATCTTACATAGAATCATCCCAACTAATTATTATCTTTTTAGACTAAAATTGATCGATTCTCCAGCATGTAGTTTCTGCAGAAGTGACATAGAAACAATTGATCATTTATTTGTTGAATGTTTCCATGTAAAAGAACTCTGGTGTACTATTGAAGAATGGATTTTAAATAAGTTTAATATTCATTGTAGTTTTGATAAACAAGCAATACTATTTGGTAAATATGAAAATATGAATGTTTATAGATTTCAAAACCTTCTAATACTTATTGTAAAGCAATTTATTTTTGCCAGTAAATATAAGAATGTTCCAAGAATAGATGCTGAAGCTGTATTAAAGAGGATCACAGATAGAATTTTGATTGAAAAATTTTTATTGATGAAGAATTGTAAATATGAAGAATATGAAAGGCATTGGCAAAATATTTGTGATACATTGTAAGTAATAGAGTTACATATACAAGCTTATATATACATGTACATCCTATGATTTATTTGAGTGATTTTTTATTTTTTTGTATTATTTGTAATAGAAGAAAGATTTTTTTCTTGCTGACCCCTCCCCCTTTTCTTTGTCTTTTTTTTTTCTTTCAAAACACCTTTCACATTATATAAACATAACTCTATATTGTGTGTAGACCCGATGTTATTGTGTACCAAATGATGAAATTTATTTTATATGTACATGTGAAAGTGTTACAATAAAAAAAAAAAAAATTGAAAGTAGTAAAAGTGGTAAATATATGGGACTTAAAAGAGATAGAAGAATATGTAAAAAATGTAACTTGAATGTAGTGGAAAACGAAATACATTTAAGGACAGATGATACAAACAATTTTTTTTCTTTGAAAAAGATTTAATATCATGTCACAAGTTTAGAAAAGTGGATGGTTCTTAGAATTTTTCTCCGAAGAACTGGAAAATGAAATAGATCTGGAAAATATTAGTAATATTTAAAACAAAAACCAAACAAAAAAACAAATATAGACAAATCACATTCAGAATAGGTTATCTTGGTGCTAAAAGTGTAAAAATAAACTTAAGAAAAATATACCAAGCCATGTGAATTTTAAGAGGAAGATCAAAATGACAAAAAATTAGCAATATCACATAGGCTGATTTTTATCATATAGCATTTCCTAAAAAAATTCACCTGGCTTGGTATATTTTTCTTAAGTTCATCTTACACTTTTATGTTAACATTTTCTGAAATTTGTTTTCACCTGTTAACCTTTACGGAATGTAATTTGTCTTTATTTGTTTTTTCTTTGAAATATTACTTATATTTTCCCAGTCTTTTTCATATTCCAGTTCTTAGGAGAAAAAATTCTAAACTTGTGACATGATATTAAATCTTTTTCAAAGAAAAAAATTGTTTGTATCATCTGTCCTTAACCATAGATTGACCTTTTACAATAAAAAAAAAGAAGAACCAAACTTCTAAATGAAGCACAAAATTTTCATTGCTTAGATAGTTCTTAAAGTTTTTTTTATCATTACATGTGCAAATATGAATGTCTTACTTCAACTTGGAGACTACCTTAATTTATAATCATTTAATATTACATTATAAAGCACACCAACTTGATACATTGTATGTATGCATTTTACTTTTTTTATCTCCTTATAATAAATATACAGACTGCTATATTATCTCCCTTGGTGCGCTCTTTCGTTAAGGAGTGGAGTTTTGTTTCCGCCTAAGCAGGAAAGCGTAGTTATAATATATTATATACGTCGACACACTACTATAGCTGATTGTCGGGATGTAGTCTTCTACTCGAAAATTACCAAATTAATAAAAGTTATTTATTAAGATCGGAACAAATGAAATTACCAGTGGATAAAACCCTGATAAAAGAGGAAAGAGATAAGGATCTCTAACAAATATTTACATCTGATCACAGCACATCAGCATTCTGAAAGTCTTTTCCCTGTCTGAAATAATTTCAAAGAGCCCGATAACTTATCAGAAAAGGGTTTGCGCGATAAAAAAATCTTTCAAAGACTCTGCCTGTTCTTTCATTTTTCAAAAATAAATCAAATTGAAAGTAAATTTGGTATAAATGTATAGTAGAGTTTTATAAAACCATCAAATGATCATTACCTCACATATAATGTATATAAATGAATTTTAAAACCCAAAACCCATGATGGGAAAATGAACAGACATATATTTATTAAAAGCTTGTGTGTTTTTCTTGAGCGCTTTCAACATTGATAAACAGGGAATAAATATATATAATTTAAAGCATCATGTATTTTCAGGATAAACTGCAACAGTTGGAATACAAACAGAAACCAGGTCATGTCCCACTTAAAGTATGCGTCTACACCACAAACCACAAACTTAGCACGAACCTCCCGCCTTATACTTGGGCCATGTGCTGACATGATGAGGGAGGTACTTCTCAATGAGGTTCCAACGACTGACCTGTCCAGGAGAGTTGAAAAATGGTTAAAATCAGCAAAGAAGAACCCACTCCATATTTCGCAAACTGATTTGATTTTCCCTCCACCGTCAAGTATCTACGGTGGAAATTATTCCGACATGGATATATCCTTGCTTTATATTCTCCTGCGTAATGTGACTAAGCTACCTGCACACAGTCAAGGTTGGGGTAATGATCCTGACACTACAGACAGAAGTGTATCGGCAAATATGGAGCGTATCAGGTTCATCAGAAACAAACACTACGGACATGCTGTTGAAATTGGCATACCTGATGCCGATTACCAAAATGAGTTTATGAACATTCGCAAAATTGCCGAAGATGTTGATATTTATTTTGGCGGTACAAAATATCAGAAATCGGTGGACTTTATCAAAACAGACACAATGGACGCGGAGCAGGAAATGAAATGGATAAAACAGCTTGCAATATTTGGTAAGACTACTGGTATATACATTTGAGGAATAAGCTTATTTCAACTTTTGTTATACGCAAAGCGGTTACTGGAGTAATAAAAGAACATAAACTGTTATGTTATATCATCTTACATAAGTTGTAATAAACTTCATTCCTTATAATTTAATTTCAGTGTAGACAATGAGAAAATAGTTTCCTCCAGGGAAAGGCTTTAAGGACGCTCTAAATACTGCACACTAAAGAGCTCTATTTATTAGGTTTTATTGGGTAATTTTATGTAGTTAAAGTGAACTGCCCTTAGCTGTAAGATTAAAGTAGTTGTTATTTACCGTTAATTACATAATTTATGAGATGGAAAGTCTTAAAATGCATATTTTTCTCTGAGTCCAAAAAAAAGTTTCTGTTAGTGTTTAGTGCTTCCTTGAATAGATAGTTTTCATATGACCTAATTTTAGCAAAAGTTACCTCCCGTTGGCCGCCATACTGGAGGTCCAAATGCTCATATTCCTTCATTGTTCAACCAATTTTAAATTTTTATATTTGCGATTTTGAATTAGGAATCATTATTTCTCTGAAGTATATAAATTTTTGGAAGCCTCCTTTATTAAGAAAAAAATATTTAATAAAGATTTTCCACCAAATATTTCTGCTATATTTTCTTAAACTTGGTAAGACAAAGAGGAAAACTCACCGTGTCGACCTCCAATATGGCGACCAACGGGAGGTAACTTTTGCTAAATTTGGGGCCATCGAAAACTATCTATTAAGAATATTTAAAAAGTAACGTAAAACGGAGTAATTCCTTTTTTACCTAAATCATATATGTATAGTGACGTAGGCTAGTTATGTTATACAAAATGGATTAAATCTTTTACCCAATCAAATTACTAGTACAAGGTACAACTGCCATTAAATTATTTTGTTTAATGCCAAATAAATGAAATAATGTCTATCTCTTTCATTTCACGCAATCATGTTAAAAAAACAACAAAGAATATATATTAATTGGTTCTTAGAACTATACATGTATATCCTAAATATCGTTGGAGGTTTGTCATTTGCTTTCATGAAGAAATCCCCCCCCCCCCCTATTAAGGCATGACTTACTTTTTTGAGAAGAATAACTTGAATCAAGATAATATAATAAATTGATCTTCTTCGTCGTATCTTCGTTATCCTTATAAAAACAAACGTTTTAAGAGTATGTGAGTATTTTTTTCATAATGTGAAACGTATTGTAGCTCCATTTGTTTTACATCCAAATGGATATCATAATCATAATGAAATACTGAAGGAGATTTAATTTTTGATCATGTCCATAGATAAAAATCCTCTGGATATGTGAAATCTTACTATAACATATCTATACTAAGATAGATAATACATGAAAAACAGAGAACGTTAAAAGCATTTAAAGGTATTTGTATAGATATATGTAATATCAATGTCAGTAGTATACAAACCTTTGACATGAAGACCTTAATGCAAGTCAACTCAAGCAAAGCTATTTGATTTAACAGAGTCGGTGGTCTCAAATGTAGAGGAAAACACCAAAGAAATACAGAAACTGAAACGTAAGTCATCAGTTGCAGACTGAATGCAGAGTTTAATATTAGCATACAGTTCTGAGAAGTGTTTTTTTTTCAAATTAAATCACCTTAATCATTTTTTTTGTCTTAAATACTTATTATGATTGTTCCTTGAACGTCGTGTGATTTTGAGTTTATAAAGTATAAACAATAATGTTCTGCTATGTTTACACTTAACAGATAAAATAGAAAACACGGGGTTTGAGAAATTAGGTAAGTTTAGCTTTGATAATGTTGCTTTCCTTCATTTTTTAAAAATAATATTCAACTATGTAATAATTCATTGTTATGTTTGATAAATAATTCCTTTCACATATCCATATAGCATAACTGTATGCAAAATAGAGTTATACGAGGCTTGCATATCCAAAACGTTCATGGACAATGACGTTTTTATTAAATAAATGGTTTTATAATTGCATCTATTGTATATCAAAATATTTCTCATGAAAAAATAAATCGGAATGATTTAATTTTTATTGATGAAACTTAATATTGAAATTGTAAAAATCGGGGTCTTTAACCCCCATCCCCGCAATCACGCATTTTAACGCATATACCGTTGCCCCACAATCACACATTTTAACGCATATACCTTTGCCCCGCAATCACGCACTTTAACACACAATTCGTTTTTGACGTTTTCTGCTCTGATTACACGTAAAGTTTTGATGATATGATAATAAATGATTAGATAATAAATTTTGTTTTTCAATTCTAATATATTTCGCAAATTTTTCCTCAATTTAATATGTCCGAGTCGCTCGATTTATTGGACGAAACTTGGGATGCGAGACAAATTAAGAAGGTCTTTCTTTTGACACTAAATAAGTTCACCATCCACTGGTGTGGTGATGTGGAAGTCACTCAATCTTGTGTGAGATGAGACCCTTGATTCAGAATTTATCGAATTTGACAATTGATTTTTTATGTAAGTGTTTGATAAAAACCTGTGCAGGAATCGACAGGAGGAACGTATAAAATTATATATGACCGTAGAGAAAAGAAGTTTTGTTTATAGAACATAGCTTTGTTCCAGTTTATATGTAATCTTATGTTACATGTATTCTCATTTTGTCTTATTTCTTGTTCTATTTGAATTCAAATTCGCAAAAACCGTTTTTTCCCACCTTAGACAGCAATCGAAAAATACACAGACACAAATATAAGGAACAGAATAAAGGAATGACAATATCATGTTGAAAAAGAGGTTGATTTAAATTTGAATGATTTCATTAATAAGTCAACGTTTCCGATATTGTTAAAAAAACTTTTGCACTTACTCGATCGTGTGTCTTGATTTCTAAACAACGAATAATGTATACATAAAACAAGGTATTCGGGAAAATTTTATGCAAGTATACTGAATACATGTTTGATATTTTTTAAAGGCAGAACAAACTAGAAGTCTGTGAGCCATTGTTCACCAATAATGCCCCACTCTAATGTGAATTTACACCCGTTCAGTTACAGGCAAATGCACAGAAAAAATATGAAGTTGACAACAGATGTTATATACAAAAAAAATCCCACTATATGACATGTCTTAACAAAGATTGTGCTAAAATTGAAAGAATCTGCTATGAAGAGTTGCTTATAAAAATGCGATAAAGATTTGTTACATGTATGTATGGTACGGATAGACGCATGGTAAAACAGAAAGTTGACATGGGATTTGAACAAAAAATGAAACCACCATATGGCATGCCACAGTGACGAATGTGCTAAAATTTTAAGCATCTGTAATGAGTACTGCGTACTTGCTCAGAAAACTGCGACCAAAAACTTTGTTACGGACAGACACAGGTAGACGGACGGAAAAACACACGAGGGTAAAACAGTATACCCCCCTCTCCTTCGCAGCGGGAGTATGGTTAAAAGACATGTATAATGATTAGTTTTATCAGTGGGTATATAGTCCCTTATAGGAATATTCCTTACATTGTCAGTAAACTATATTATTTAAAGGTATTCACTTATCAGTCGCTTTCACATGTTTAAGAAAACATATATATATGCTCTATAGGTTTATGTATGTCAACACTGCATACTCTAGAAATAATAATTATAAGTTTAGAAAAATCTTAATTGGCGAAGTAAACTTTCAAGAAGAGGACGGCGATGTGGTCTGATGGGATTCTTCCACTAGCTTTATTTTTTTATGTTATACACGAAAAATACTTCCGACATCCACTTCTGTATGGACAGTTAACTCGTGACTGTTTTCAAAGGGTAGTGCAGCTGTTAAATACTATAGGTACATAAATGAGGAACAAAGCATTTGAACGCTTAAAATTTCATTCTTTCGGGGGTGGGGGTGGTGGTGGTGAGATGTAACACATTTTGAACAAAAGCGATCTAAATTATTCCCTGCATGCATTTTGTCTCCGGAATTATATTATTACATGCAGAATTTCCGGCATTTTTTTCTTCGATCAACAGCTAGCTTGTTAAACATGTAAAATAAATAGACTGATTATAAATAATAAATGCATTTCATTTTATCACAGGAATGCTCAGCATTTCTTTTGCGCTTTTTTCGGGGGGGGGGGGGTTACATATATTATGTCAGTGATGTCCGACACATATGATACTGATCTCAAATTTAACATCCATGTTATTTTAAGAAAACAAAGCTTTTGATGTCAATGATTTGACGGTATTGTCCAAAGATAATTTCGATTTTCAATTAGGAAAGTCTTATTTCACAGTTTTATTTCCTGATATTCACTCTTCCATAAATTTCGGAAAATAAAACTAAAAATTGTCAGTAAACTATGTAATGTCGAAAATTAAAAGTAGAATATAAATATATTTTTACTGAAAAAAAATGCAGTCAAATTATTGAGATGATCTGTTTATTCTCCTGTCTGACTTATATGAAGATTTTTTCGGTCGGAATAGTATATCTTTTACAAGCACAATCAATATTTTTCTGTCGTTAACTTGTATATTTTAATACTATAGTAATATCATGCATGGGATATCACAAAAGTATATAGAAAAAAATCTGTATATCCACTTCGCACTAACTCCTGATAGATCCTGAGTAATTGATTAATTTTTATTGTATACCATGTTATTAATTTGACATTTTTTTCTGAAAATTTGAATAAAATTGATATAAATACGTAATTTTCTTAATAGGAGTGGACTTGTAAGTTTTCGTGTACATCGACGCTGCATGTTCACAAATTTCATCGTGTCATAGAAATCTGATATGGCAACCCATTGAAAAAATTTGGAAATGCAGATCTCCACCATTCACTAGAGTAGATTTTGGATCACAATCCCTTGGCTAGAAAGGTTTAGATATGTATTGCTGATTGAAGACTGATTATTCTAATGCCGAGTTCCATGGGAGTATTTCATCCGTTTACTGGTATTATTAAGATTTGATCAGTTAAATTTTATTACATGTATTTTAAAAATTAAAATGTTTTCCATCGACAATGCGCTATTGTATTGTTCAATAGAAATTAAGTGATATTCCAACAATATTTTTTAATAAAAAAAATCCTCTCGAAAAGATAAATCAAGTTAAATGTGCTGAAAGATACAAATCCTTTTTGTCCTAAAAAAAATATATTTAAAAAGTGTTACAAAATTTTTCTCAAGTGATAATCTTTTTCTTCTAGACCTCATTTCTATTTTTATTTATAAAAGATTCTGCAAGTTTCGATAAAATGGTAATACATGTGACTGAAGAAATAAAAAGGGGGGGGGGGCGGGCATGTGTCGCTGTCTGTCATTTTAACACGAGCAAAAAAATGACACCCTAAATGGAAATTCAAACAATTACTTTGAACGACGTTTTCGATTAAGATTTAAAATTCAAAATACATTACTTGTAAGCTATGATAATATATCAAGTTTGATAAGTCCACATAAAAGAATTATTTAAACAAAATAAACAGGATTAAATCATCATTAAAATACTTGAATTCATTTTATAGATGATTGTATATATATTAGGGCGATATATACGGCAACAGTTGCAAATTACACCGTGTTAATGCATCCCTAAAACACGTCTTTTCAGCACGTAATCGCAAGTGCGCTGGGGGAAAAGGATATCGTCATCAAAAAGTAACAAATGTATTGCTACTATTAAGTCACAGACAGCTCAAGGGGCATAGAGTTTAAGATCGCAGGTTTTGTGCACGAACCAGTCTGACGTTACGCTACTTTCATTATTACGTCAGACATTTGGATTTTGACTTAACACATGTTCATGGACACACACTACATTTCTTTTTAAGGCGCAACACACTTCGAAGTGCTAGCAAGAATCTTTAAGTATAGATTATAAATTATTTAATTTTTAAAATTCAAAACAATGCACAAAAATTTATGACCGTCATCTTAATAAACAATTTGTATATTCAAACTGCACAGCCCAGTCCGACGCTGCGCTGGATTTATAACAACGTCATGACTTCATTTTCAGTAAATTGCATGTGTTTTTAAATTCTTGTAGTGTCTTTGCATTTGTACACATCGTTGAAAAATCGTATATACCAATCCCAAATTGACAAACTAAATATATTTCAGTAATTTTGAGTTGATTTAACAAATATTTTGTTTCTTACGTCGTTTCAACAGTTATAAAACTTAATTTTTGTAATCGGACGCTGCCCATTGTGGACAGCAGACGTCGCTTTTTCTGTTGAGTTTTTGCACGTAGTTGTTTGGGTTTTCTTTTAGTTTTTTCGTTGTCTATACTGTCACAGGTGCTTGAGGACAGGGACCACCCCCCCTACCAATATTGACCCCCGGGCCTGTTAGACTTTTTTCACATAAATTATATATGGATGACACATTTGTGATATAATCTATCCTATCAATTCAAAAAATTTGCCTAAACTAACATTTTATAAAAAATTCTACCCTACTCTCTTTATATAAATTAACATGATTTTTATATATAGAATGTAGGGTAGATTTTATAGAACATTTGTTTTAGGTAATTTTTCGATTTTTTTGGGTATAGACCTTATCACAAATATGTCAATGAAAGATTATTTATGAGAAAAAAGTCGAAAAATCCCAGGGGTGTATATCGAAAGGGGGGGGGGGGGGGTCCTGTCCTCAAGTACCTGTGTATATCGTAAGCGATACTTAAGATATCATAAAATAATTTTAGCCTCTTTATTTGTGTTACACAAATTCTTTTTACTAATTTTTGACTTGTTTTATACAGAAAATAATCA